GGGGCCTCGGGGGGAGGGGGCGCCGGCTAATTAAATCAAAGCATAATGCAGGCAGCAGGTTGGGGCACTTTGGGGGCAAGCTGGGAAAGAGGGGGCCCAGAAGAAACACTAGGGGGCCAGGCCCCGTGGGCCCCACGTTAGCTACGGGCCAGCGCAGGGTACCTTGGAGATGAGTGCTTGCAACAGAAAGGGGCGCCTCTTCACCTTGCACCGGTGCCTCTTGTCTCGTCCCCGGGCAGGAGGGGAGAGAAAAGCCGCAACGGCCAAAGTTCTCTCTCGGGCAACGGCGAAAGGAACAGAAGCCTTCGTGCACAGGGCCTGCCTCAGCTGGCCGGTGCTGTTCCTAGCACTAGGCAGCGCTGGGTTCGAATTCTTCCCCGGGAAGAGGAGCAGCTTTCGGGGAGTCAAACAGGAATTGGGGGGGGGGCTTTAAAGAACACCATCTGGTTCCAGCATCAGTTTCCTCGGAGTGCCGCCTAGTTCTTCAGATGCTCGGAGTCGATGCTCACCATGCAGTCAAGCATGAGGCCCCACTCCTGGCTTCTGAAGACGACGCTGGCTGCAGTCCACGGGCAGCTGACACCGGAACGACGTCGCCTTCGTTTTGAAAGTGATGCAAAACGCCTGTTTTGTTTTTGATGCCGCAAACTACCTTGCTGGCTGCCCCCTCTGGGATGAATGCCATTTAGGCAAGTCGGTGTCGCTTTGCTTCAGTTTGCTGTTTGCAAACGAGAGACGTTACATAAGCAACCTGCCTGACAGAGTTGCTGAAGAATGGGAGATAAAGGCCTTTTGTTTTTAGCCCTGAGTGCTTTTTAAAAACCCTTTTTTCTTCCTTTCGTTGCTGTTTTGCAATGCTCTGTGAAGAGCCTTGCTTGGACAGGAAGGAAAAAAAGAACAACAAGCTTGTTAAAGGTTGTGTTTTTTGTTCTTTAAATAAATTTAGAATACTTTGTAGGCTCGCAGCTTTAAACAGTGTAGGTTTGTAAACGAAACAGGCAATGCCACGAGGCAAGGAAAGTTCCAGTCAGGCCAGTGCTCTGACCCCAGCTGCAGCCAGCCCGTTTTTGTGCCCAGTGTTATGGGTAGACTGCCTCTATGAATGGAGGCTCCGTTTAATTATCATGGCTAATTGCTTTTGATAGTCCTCCTCTCCGAGAGGCAGCAGTTTCTCCAACTCCAGTAATCCTTGTGCATGCCTAAAATGTTCTTCCTTTGTTCTTTCAGCACATTCTATAATTTGAGTAATCTCTGCGGTGGTTATAAAAAAAAACCAACTGAGAGAGTTCAGAACGTGCATCGAAGCAAGCCATCATATGTATGCTAAGAAGATGCGGACATAGGGGCGAGGCGCTATTGGGAGGAGCAGGTGACTTTAGTGCGGGGGTGGAGGGTCGTAGCAAGGCTAGGCTGGAGATTATGCTGATTCCTTCTACCTTTGGGTTTTTTTTCTGGATCAAAAACAGATGCCAACAGAATACCTGCCCAGCATGAAAAAAGAATCATCCATCCTTTCCCACTACCTAACAAAGCCACTAGAGGACAGTGATCGCTCAGAAAATATCCCATTTTGCTCCTGTCTCAGTAGGTACAGGCAGGATTATTGTCTCAGGGCACCAAATTATTCAGAATAACGAGAACCCAAGTGGACTGCCAAGAGCTTCAAAAGGATTTCTCCAAAGGGTAACAACGGAGTAAATGAGGTTCCACTAAAGGTAAAGTTATGCACATTGTGTTAAAAATCCTCACTTTCAATATATGCTGATGGGGTCTGAACCGACAGCGACTGACCAGGAGGGAGCTCTTTGGGGTTACGCTGGGCAGTTTAACGGAAAGAGCAAGTCAGTCCGTGGCAGCGCTGAGAAATCAGATTCTTGGCTAAGGATTTATGAAGAAAGGGACTGAAAGCAAAGCGGCCGGTATCGTAATGCCCTTGTATAGATCTGTGGAGCAGCCACATCTGGAAAACAGTGTACAATTCTTGTCAGTGGTGTCACAAAAAGGATAGTGTTGCAGAAAATGGTGACCAAAGTGATCATGGGCTTGAAGCTAAGTTGTTTAGCAGTTCTTTGCATGCATCTGTGACTCAACAGTCAGGCATCTGCTTTGCATACAGAAGGTCCCAGGTTCAGTCTCCAGTTCTAAATAGGACGAGGTTGTAGGTGATACACAGGCCTCTACAGGAGGCCCCAGAGAGCTGCTGCTGGGCAAAGGAGACAGGATTGACTTGGAGAGACCAAGGGTTTCACTCAGTAGAAGGCAGCCTCATATGTAATTTGCAGAAAGGAGAACCAAGGGCAGACATGGTAAAACTTTATAAAATTATGCAGGACATGGATAGCTAGAAAGATGTTTTCTCCCTCCTTGGTAATACTAGAACTTACAGGCACCCGATGAAGCTGATGGGCGACAGATTCAGGACATACCCAAGAAAGAAGAAGGAGAGATTGGATTTATACCCCGCACTTCACTACCCAAAGGAGTCTCAGAGCGGCTTACAAACTCCTTTCCCTTCCCCACAACAGACACCCCGTGAGGTAGGTGGGGCTGAGAGAGCTCTGACAGAAACTGCTCTTTTTCAAGGACAGCTCTTGTCAGAACTACAGCCTGCCCAAGGTCATCCAGCCAGGTGCAAGTGGAGGAGCAGGGAATCAAACCCGGTTCTCCCAGATTAGAGTCGGTGCACTTAACCACTACACCAAACTGGCCACTCAGAGACTGATTGGTTTGCAGGATTTGCTGCCACAGAAGGTGAGGGCAGCTGCCACTTCAATGCCTTTGAAAGGGGACAGGTTTATGGGGGACAGATCCATTGATGGCTATTAGACCTAAGAGGTAATAACCTTATGAATCCCAGTTTTGGGGGACAACTTTGGTCGCACAGGCCTCTGTGCCCTACTTGTAGAATTTCTGGGGTACCTAGTTGGCCATTGCAAGAAACCCTATGCCAGACCAATGGACTGTTGCTCTAATCTACAGATTGCTGTGCTCTAACCCTAGCATGCAGAAAAACAAAGACGGAGGGGAAAGTATGTTTACAGAAAGGAAGTCTTTCTGTTTCAAGGGATGTCCCCGCTCCAGTACAAACGTCTATCTCGGCACCCTAATAAACTCCACTCTCCCCCCTCCCCAAGTTGTTTGTCCATTCATTGCCTCTCGGGTCTTAAGGAATAAAAGCCAAGAAAAAGACACGTAACAGAGGGCGAATACGTTCCGTAAGCACCTTTTATGTCGCCTCTTTAAACCCATCGCTCTCAATAAAGATGCCCAGCAAGAGGTTTCCCTGGCTTCTCCCATCGCTCTCAATAAAGATGCCCAGCAAGAGGTTTCCCTGGCTTCTCCCATCGCTCTCAATAAAGATGTCCAGCAAGAGGTTTCCCTGGCTTCTATGATGCCCTGCAGCCCCAAGAGCAGGTCTGCTAAATAGAAAACAATTCCCCTCTCTTTAGCGAACCTTTGTCAACATTTTGGCGCCAGGTACTCAAGGACGCCCCCTGAGAGGAGCTGCAGAGTTCTCTCCAGTTCCTGATTCCACCGTGCCCGTAATGGAGCCCTGTTGAATAAGAACTCCTGGTGTGTATCAGATTGCCTTTGTAATCCTGTCCACTTCATGCCTCTCCTGTTGGCTCCCTGAATACACGTCTCCCTTTTTTATTCTGGAGAGTTCTTTTCCCGTTCTGCCTGCCCCAGTCCCTGACTCTTCTCTATCTTCACCCATAACGGGGTGTCTTATTCCATAAACACGATTTAGGGCCTGGCAGACCACTTGCATCTCTCCCCATCCTGAAGAAGGGCCTACGGTGGGCAGTTGTTGTGTCTCTCACAGCCCTCTCTACTCCCCCTTATTCTGGCGGCTGTGTTAAACTCGGCCATCTTTGGTCACTCATCCTTTTCCACCTTGATCTCCACAAAGGAGCTGAGGTCGGGGCAGAAGCCTTTGTGGCAAGCCCCGGATTCTTCCTCTTGAAAATGGGCGTTGTAAAGGTGGAGGGGCAGGAGCTGGACTTCGGCGGAGGGCAAGCGATCCGAGGGCGGCCCGTAGACCCGGTTGGCTTTGGTGCCGTGCTTCGAGTTGGCGTCGAGCCGGTAGCAGAGCTGGGTGAGCGGAGTGGCACGGAACCGCGGGGGGCGTGCCACCCACACCCCCGGCTCGCTCAGGCTGTCCTCCTCGTCCGACATGAGCTCTTCGGTGACACCCTGCCACAAGCGCTGCTCCTCCGGCCCCAGGAGACGCGCCACCCCCGAGCGGTTTGCGAAAAGCTGGTGGGCAAGAGAAGAGAAAGCGTAATGAGTCATTCTAAGAATACCATGTTTGGTTCCACCCCTGCAGTTTCTCACCACTGCTGGCTTCACGTGTCCCGTTTTGCTCTTTCCAAACCTCTCTCTCCCCAACCTGGTTCTTCCTTCACATTCTCCTGCCGAATTGTCTCAAATGGAGGGCGACAGAACTGTCCTCAGACTCTGGACCCGCACAGCGTACGGCCCATGATGAGATTAAACAGCCTCTAACACTTGAGCTGCTGTGGCTCAAGTGGTTAAGACGCTGAACTGCAGGCCGGAGGGTCGGTAGTCCAGCAGTTGGAGACCCGAGCATGACGGAGTGAGCTCCCGTCGCTGGCCCCAGCTCCTGCCAACCTAGCCGTTTGAAAGCAAGAAATTGCAAGTAGATAAATAGGGACTGCTTCGGTGGGAAGGTAACAGTGTTCCATGCGCCTCGGCGTTTAGTCATGCTGGCCACATGACCACGGAAACATCTTCGGACAGCGCCGGCTCTTCGGCTTGGAAATGAGCGCCGCAACCTTAGATTCGGATTAGACTGGCTTTCGAGCAAGGGAAACCTTTACCTTTACGGACACTTCAGAGGAAAACTGGGACATTCTTGGGACTTCCAGACTACAGAGATCAGATGCCTTGGAGAAAATGGCAGCTTTTCGGAGTGATCTGGATGGCATTATGCCCCACTGAGTTGCCTCACCTCCCCAAACCCTGTCCCTCACCAGCCTCCATTCTAGAAGAAGAGGAGGAGATTGGATTTATACCCCGCCCTTCACTACCCGAAGGCATCTCAGAGCGGCTTACAAGCTCCTTTCCCTCCCCCTCCCCACAGCAGACACCCTGTGAGGGAGGTGGGGCTGAGAGAGCTCTCCAGAGAACTGCCCTTGAGAGAACAGCTCTGAAAGAACTTATGACTGACCCAAGGGCACGCTAGCAGCTGCATGTGGAGGAGTGGGGAATCAAACCTGATTCTCCCAGATTAGAGTCTGCACTCTGAACCACTACACCAAACTGACTCTTTCAGGACTTTCCTAACCCAAAATTAGCAACCCTATGGCTTGTAACGCTTGGTATCAGAATACATTCCAAGGATCACTGCCCCCTTCGCACAGGGCTGAAGGCCGTACTTCCTGCTCCCCTGTGTTCGCCTGTCCTGCACTCTTTTAAAAGCTAAAACAACCTTTGTACTTTTGGCTAAAACATTTGAGAAAAGCGTTAACACTATCCTACTATCAGTTATCAAAAATCCAACAATTTCTCCGACTTTTCAAAATGCAAAACTCCACTCTGGGTCTCAGCAAGGGAGGCCAACTATAAATAAAGAAAGAAATCCAGCTTCACCAATGCAGTGTGCCAAGTGGCAAGCTGAGCATGACACAGGGTTGCCAACTCCAGGCTGGGAAACTCCTGGTGATTTGAGGGTGGAGCCTGGGGAGGACAGGGACCTCACTTGGGTATAATGTCATCGAGTCCACCCTCCAAAGCAGTAATTTTAGCAAAGGGAACTGATCTCTGTTGTTATTCCAGGAGATCTTCAGCCCCCCCACCCCAAGGCTGGCAGCCCTAATTAGTCACACACATACATTTACACACACACGCATTGCACAAAAGATACACCCACTCAGACATTCCTCTCTGGGAAGGGAGGTGAACCTCCAAGCACGGCAGTTCTAGCAACTCATGCCAGCAAAATTCTAACAAGGCAAAAAGAGGGACAAAATGGGGACCGTCATTTACAAGGGGCAGGCAAGAGAAAACAGGGACTGACCCCGACAAACAGAGTATTGCAGCCCTCTGCCTATTTTCAGACCCTGGGTGAATCTCAGTTATGCATTCTTTGTGGCCAACCTTCTCACTGAAACCGGAAGATCTCGGAAGCAAAGCAGGGCCGACCCTGAAAGTATTTGGATGGGAGACCTCCAAAGAATACCAGGGCCGGGGAGCAGCGGCAGGCTATCAAGCCACTTCTCTGAACGTCCAACGTACCCCAGTAGGAGTCGCCAGAGGTCACCATGACTTCCAAGCACAGGCACGCACATGCATGTGCGCGCACACAAATGCAAAAATACACAAAATAAATAAAAACCCCTGGAAGCTGCTCAGTGCAGATGTGCAGGTCACAGCTCTCCCTTATGAAGCATTTCGTCGGCAAGCACAGGAACTGGTGGGTGGCAGCAGAGAGCTCTCACTCCCAGACTGGCAATTTGCAATGCAAACAGGTATCTTTGCAAAGGAAGATTGTTGCTGCTTTGATAAGTGCCGTGGAGAACAAGTGGAATGCAGGCTAAATGATCCAAGTTGCTTGGTTTTGTCTTTTTCTCTTAGGTAGAGAGCTAATTGGAAGTAAAGTGACGGTTTATTTAACAAGCTTGATCAAGTCATGTCTTTTTGGCTGAGAGCACCCTATGGCATGCACACACACCCATTGCAGCACAATTTTATACATAACTTAGAAGTCCCATTTTACCTGGCCCAGGTAAGGAAGCTATGGATGGGAGACCAACAAGGCAGTCTGGGGTTGCTACACAGAGGCAGGCAATTGGCAGACCAATTCTCTTTTATCTCTTCCTTTGAAAACCCTACTGGCTGTGACCTGATGGCCCCTTTTCACGCACAAGTCCCATTTTATTCAGTAGGATCTCCTTTCAAGTAAGTGTTCGTGAGTTTGCAGCTTTAAAGGCATTGCTGACAGACGGTCTTATCCATTGTGCTTAAAAGCTTTCTTAACATTCACCATCATTTTAATGAGCCCCCTCTTTCCTTGGCACATTTTGCTCTCCTCTTCTCTAACCTTTATCCTAAACTGATACTCCCCTGCAGTCTCTTAATGGCATGACATGCTTTATAGACGCTCCACAAGCCAGGAACGGGATTTTCCTCTTTCAGTCTGAAAAACGTATTTGATCATACTCATTAAATAAGCAAATCGCCATTAAAATTCTGCCTTCAGTTGAAGAAAGTCTAGCTCAGTTCAGTCCACTTACTGCCAGACAAATATGCGTAGGGTCATGAAGGAATGCTGTGGCTTGAAACATCTATGAAGCTAAATCCTATGCATGTTTACTCAGATGTTTAATCCTAAATAATTGTGCACAGGACTGCTGCTTTAAGCAATAATTGAATTTAGCGGAATTCTGTTCTAGCACTGTTAGAATCAGACTGTAAACCGTCATAGAATCCCATCTAGTTCAAATAAACCTGGCTTATTCTGAAGTCAGTCGGAATTCAAATGTAATGAACAATAAACAGACGAACAATAAAAGCTGATCACTGCGTGTATTAATGATCCAAACTAAACTGAATTTTAAACTACATTTTATTTGATGCGACTGATAGAATGTATTCAGCATGCACATATCACAGATGGACTCACAGGAGAGTATTATTACAGGGCATTTGTATATATTTTTAAAAGAAATGTTACGTTAGATACCTCTTCTCCATAAAGGGCTCGTGATCCCCCATCGAAAGTTCTGATTACAGCTGTACTCCCAAGCAATCTTTTCCTCTAAGCTGTGGAGTCTCGTGAGCAAAAAGTCTGCTTTGTGAGCTACCGGCATTAAAGTTGTGAGCAAGCAATTTGGCTACTGCATAAATTAGTTTGCCCCGGAGCCCTCCTTCCTGAGCTAACACAAAAATGTGTGAGCCAGAGGCAAAAAACCTCTAGCTCACACCAACTCAGCTTAGAGGGAACACTGCTCCCAAGACCACTCTTCATACATTATGGAATATATAGGCTGGGTCCAAGGTCCCTACCATGCTTAACATTCACATGTGATTCACAGGCTATCTTCAGTTCCCATGCACACACTGTCTGATTTGCATTATGACCGTGGTACGCATGGAGAAGCTTCAGTCTTTCCTCCTCTGCCATTTTTCACGACTTGCAGTGGTCACAGGAGTGTGCTATGTGGCCTGTTGGTGAACCCAGGTATACACTCGTGGTTTTCCCCAATGGGCCAAACAGCACCCCACCCCAGATAATTCAGGTCCACAAAATGGGGGAAAGGCTGAAGCCCCTTCTTCAAGAATGCTGCTGTTGCAATCCAAGTTAGGCACCGCATATGGGGGAATTTAGGAAAACAGGTGTGACAGCTACGCAGTGAGGGGACCTCGGACCCACCCTGTATACACTGTGACGTGTAAAGCTGCAAGATGTTTTAAATTCGAAAAGCAAAAAGAGTTGTAGCATCTCTTCCTAGCATGGTTTTCTGAATGCTAGCACTGCTTGGTACCTATGGCCACTGTTCCCTCGAAGCTGAGTTAGTGTGAGCTAGCTCACAGTTTTTTAGCCTCGGGCTCCCGCATTTTTGTCTTAGCTCAGGAAGGAGGGCTCCAGAGCAAACTAACTGATGCAGCAGCCAAATCGCTCGCTCACAACTTTAATGCCAGCAGCTCGCAAAGTAGAATTTTTGCTCACAAGACTCCACAGCTTAGAGGGAGCATTTGGCTACATTCAGATGTGGCTAAAGAAAAACATGCAAGAACCCAGGTGGTTGTTTATCTCATATGCACCTCCCTCTTCACCCTAACATTCTTGCACTGAGAATCATAAACTGTAACTTCAGTTACCATGGATGTATGAAGACAGGTTAACGGGCATTATCTCCCCGCGTCACCACTAACTGGGTCGGGATCCTAAAACTAGGATTTAAATCAGGCTTATTATCCTACTTAGTGAGGAGCAAACTGACTCTGGTTAACCCGTGCGCCTATATTTGTACATCATGTGTAAATACTGTTGCCAACTCTGGGCTGGGAAGTTCCTCGAGATTTGGGGGTGGAGCTCAGTGAGGTATACTTGGCTAACAAATGTTTTGCCCTGAAACTAAAGCATCACACACACACACACCCGACATCAGCAATGTGATGACATCACATCCGGTGAGGGTGACGTCACTGAGCAGAAGATCCCGATGAGGACCAAGGATCCCCCCCCTGCCCCTGGCTGCCAGGTAGGACCCGGCAGACTAACACCTGAAGCTGGCCCGTAGCTAACATGGGGCCCGGCCCCCTAGTGTTTCTTCTGAGCCCCCTCCCTCCTGGGCTGCCCCCAAAGTGCTCCAACTTACCACCTGCACTGTACTTTCATTTAATTAGCTGGCGGGGCCCCCAGAGGCCCCCTCCCAAAGAATTCCCTAGCTACGGGGCCGTCCTGAAGTTAAGACTGAATTGCAATTCTCAGTATGAGAAGAGAGAAAACAGGCCTGTGTGCAAACTCACAAACAAGCTGGGTTTGTGTACGCTTCTCTTTAATCTGCGATTCTGAATGCAGCCTCTAACTTCATCTGTCGAACGGAGGTATGTGAGCAAGAATACTGATGCAGCAGCCTCCCGCACTGCAGTCTGAATTTTATGTTTGCTTTATTCGTTTACAAATATCCCAAAATCAAATGGATGTACACATGTATTTGGATTAAAAATCTGACAAACGTGCCTTTTCGGCAGTTAACGTAGCAGTGTGGCCCTCTTGAGTTAACAATAGTGCAGGAATAGCCCTTGAAGTTATGGAGAGGTGCACTTCTGGCTTACCCGATAGCGTCTGCTGCGCAGTTTCTTCTCCTCCTTCTCTTTGAGACCTTTGAAGGGGTTGAGTGAGTTACGGTATTCGCGCCGCTTCGTCAGAAAGTAGGCCACGCAGGCTCCTAGCAGAGTTTTAAAAAGTGAGGTGATCACAAGTCGGGAAAGCAGAGTGACGGGAACGAGGGGCAGATGAATGACTGGAGACTATATAGCATGGAAGTAAACAACCAGCATTTCAGAGCCAATGTGGTGTAGTGGTAATTAATTAATGACTGTATGCAGGGGTCGTTTCGTAGAAAAAGAGCTAGGGGAACTCATTAGCATAACTCATTAGCATATGCCACACCCCTGACATCACCAGAAGTGTGTCATAAGGGCACACACCCCGCCCCCAATGGTCCCGGCCGCTGCCGACCTTGCAGCTCCACTCCCGAGCCCCATGAGGGGCCCGGCAGCGGACCTGCAAGGCTGGCGGGAGTGCAAGGAAGCCCCGTGAAGGCCCTCCCTGGCCCCAGGCAGGCAGGGGTGGGGAGAGGCAGGGAGGAAGCAACTTACCCTCCCTCTTCTGCCTCCTCCTGCCTGAATGAGGGCCGGAAGCGG